GGGGGGGGGGGGGGGGGGGGGGGGGGGGGGGGGGGTGCGCGGGGCGAGGGCATCCAAGAAGACTACATGAGCACTCCCATCCTAAAAGGCGATGTACGTGTGATGTGATCACAATTTAAAGACTCTGAACCGATCGTATTCGGCGAAAATTAAGTTAAAAAATATAATGTTTGAGCACCGCTTTCAACCCCTTTTGAGGCTGTATGTGGGTCATATCAAAGAGGGTGTCCCGTACAGATTAACAGTTACCCCTTGGGGAAAACAGAGAACCACCGGACAAAAGCAATGCTTTCATGATTAATTAATTGAAAAGACTCACTGGTTTGGAGTGATGCTGCGACTAGAAATGGAGCCATAATCGCTGTGGATGCTGGGATTTCTCTGGCATTTCTCGCTACTTCTACGAGCCTGGTAAGAAACGTCAAGTACGTTACTTTAGATTTTGTATATTTTATTTTATTAAACATAAAAATGTCTTTGATTCACTTGAAATCCTGGTCCCAGATTTTCAACCCGCAATCAAGCTAGTCTAGGATTACCGAACAAGAATATTCATTTCACTTTACAACTTTTCAGCGTGTTTTTATTTCTAGCTATATTTGCTATCCTCCAGTCATGATCTCAAACTCGACAAAAAAACACCATAACCTCGACCATTCTCATCATATCTACGTACACTAGTTTTATTAGTTTTATTATAGTCACTCGGGGGCAAGGAACTAAGCATTATTACAGTTATTACCTCTTACTTGTGTTCATTTAGTTATAGTCATTTTACTGTAATTAGTTTGTGCAATTCTAACTCATTAGGTTTCCCTAATTAGCAGCAGTGCTAAATCTAAATCTTATCGACAAATAAAGTTATACTTATTATTACTTTAATTCAAGGTTTGCGTTATGCAATCGGGATATGAATGGCCTTGTATTAGTGCTATTCAGTTTTCCGGTTAACTAGACTTGGTACATTCTAAATCAGGGAATTTTTGGTATGATAAATACCTTAGAGGACTTTGATCGTCTCCCAGTCAAGGCCTGCAATTAGAGAGATGATTTGAATGCGTTAATGTGATACGTTGAAAGGAGAAGAAAAATCGTAAAGGGTCTGTACTTCAGGGGAAACATTTAGTTCATAAAATCCATCACAGTGCATAAAATGAAATAATCTTTACACTCTCAGTGAATGTACAGCAGATAATATGTATGGCAAGTTGAAACACTATTTTTTCATAGTCAAGTTTGTGTATAAGCCAATCTATCTCCATCCTGCCACCCTGAGCCATCCTTAGTTCCCAATCCGTTCTAGCCAGGTTTCGAGTACTGATTCTACAACTCTAAACCATTATTGTTTAGTTTCTTAAATTAAATAGAGGTATATTTTAATTTAGAACTTTTATAAATCGATTTTTTTTTAATGGTTGTCTCCGTACCTCGAGTGCTGCTCGTAGGTCATCATTGCTTTCGCATAGTCTCTTGTTCGTCTCCCTATTGAAAAGAAATTGCCCAAAACTGCAGTGATCCACGTCAAATGCGTTTTACACACACTGGCTTATACAGTAACCACAAATGACCTTTTGGCGAATTAGGTAGACCGTTCAGCTGAAGTCTGCATTCCAACTCGGTGGCCCATCAGCATTTCTTTCTTTGGCTGACTTAAGCTTCGAAATTAAATACTACAGCCACTATTCGGTATATACTAAAAATAATTAACATTTTTATATAGCTGGCGTTTTTCCCGCTACAGGGCGTCCATTCATTGGCTGGTTCATGGTCACATGACATCTAACAATGAAACTGTTTCCCGCTAAATGCCATGAGCGGGCAACATTGCGAAAACTATGACATCAAACAGGAAACAGTTCATCTGTTTTGCTGTATAACAATTCACTTAATGACTGGTCCCTTGGAGAACAGTGAATTTTGTTTCCCTCGAACCTCAAACACTGCGATTCTCGGGAAACAAAATTCACTGTTCCCCTCGGGATCAGTCATTAAGTGTTAAGTGTCTTACTGTAATATGTCCAGTTGCTTAGTGAATGTTTGTCTATCAGATGATCTCAATGTATCATACGCTTCATCTTCTTCTTCTTCTTCTTCTTCTTCTTCTTCTTCTAAATCTCGATAAAAATTCTGCAATCATCATTCAAAACACAAATTTTACATAAAGTTCTCAGATTTGGACAATGCTGTATAATGTTATTTAAATCTTATTTTCTTCACTCATCACTTTTCATCTCTGAAAAATGTTCACTATAAGATACATGTAGTAACAAAATTACACAATAGTGAAATGTTCAAAAGTTTTAAAGACATAGAATTGTATTTTAGGTTGATTCCACCTTTTAGCATACCATTTAGTTTATGACACATGATCAACTATTCACCTGCCACATAATTGTTATTACCACTTAAAAGTGTGTTTATACTCATAAATGACTTTTTCAAAACCATTTTTATTTATTCACAGCAGTCACTTTAGCCTAAGAAAGCAGATTTCTCGTCCCACATTTTGTCTTCATCCAGCTCAAGAGTCATCAGAGATTCAAGCCATAAACATTTTTCCTCTCGTTAGAAAGAAAATACTCAGCTTAAAGGCTTGTGTGCATACCAAGATTGAAGACAATACCAGTCACTCGTATGATACTCCATGGTATACCACTCGAAACCGTTAAATAACTTGTAGTTATCAGCCATAAATAAGAAATATTGGGCTTGAATCTCAGATGTCTGTCACTTACAGATGAGTGTGGAACATCACATCTGTTTTCTTAATCTATAGTCACTTCATTGAGAAGAAAGTTGTTATACTAACAGTCACATGAGTTTAAAGAACTTTTTTTTAAACAGAATTTTATAGTTTAGTTAAGAGTGTCATACTATTGGCAGTTCCTGTGTTGTACTGTCAGTGTCAGATGTCTCGCTTGCAACAACATGTCGTGCATAGACTTTTTTGACAGGTGTCAGTGCTGCCTTATTTGTTGTGCTCTTTACTTTGTCTACAGTGTGCAGTGGTGCACTGTCTGTGGTGCAAGTGACAGTCGGTGAGAAGGTAACTGACGCGTTCTTGCGTAGTCTGTTGTTTGGTCCAACAACCTTACTTGAACTTCTCCTGTCCAAGACCCCTCTTTTCAAACGCTGTTCTGTCCCTTCTGAATCGGAGTCATGCTCCAGTGCCGCTAATCTTGACTTACTATGAGCATCGCTAACATTTCGTCCGCGTTTATTTTCTTTCACAGTTTGAGTCCCTTTGCCCGGTACTTTACTTTGCAAATTGGCTTCAGCTCTTTTTTTGACAAGGTTTACATAGCTTTTGTTTTTTCTTGTCTCGCTCTTTTTCACAGCATAATCTTTAGTATTACTCTTTTTCAAAGAGGGATCTTTTGTGTAACTGTTTCTGAGCGAGGGATCTTTTCTGTCACTTCTCCTCAAAGAAGTGTCATTCGTATCGCTTTTTTTCAAAGCAGCATCTTTGCCTTCCTCACTTGGTTTGCCTGTTTCTCTGTTTTTAGTGCCTTTTGACAGTTTACCAAAGTATTTTCCAAATCGACTGCTGAATCGTGAGCTGTTTCTGTTCCTCTGTAGTTTGTCATTGTCCTTACAAGTGTCGGATTGTTCACTAGTGTCCATGTCTGACGTCAAATGTGTAGTGTCTTTCATTTTACCCGTTTTACCCTGTTTAGTTTAAAATTTATTTCAGGTTAAGTTGTTATATTATTTGTTTAAAGTTTATTCAACATTAACACAACCTTGTGAAAAATGCATTTTACCAGACAACCTTTTCTTGCCATACAAAAAAAAACAAAAACAAAAAACAGACTGTCGGTAATAATTTTTTTAAATATTCAATTATCTATTACCTTCATGAAGATCCTAAAGAAGCATGTTCCAAATTCAAAACCTGATTCTCTCCATTTAATTATTGCTGTGAAATGCTTTTAATCTTAGGCCTTGGAATTCGACGCTATGGCAAGAAAATATCCTTGCGGATGAATTTTGCTCTTCTCATTACTTGTTTCCTAAAAATATATATATTATATTATCAAGAGGACAGGGACGAGATTAAAGATATTTTTGTTGAAACAAGAAGTTCACCTCGTCTGTTTTTAATCAGAACGAGGTTGGTAAGACAGCATTTCCACAAGTTGTGTTAATGTCCTTGTTTATCTTGTAATGAGCTTTTATTCATGAAGCCTACCATGGTGCAATACCCCAGAATGACAGGCTCGTCCAAGAAGGACTTGTCCTCAGTAGCAAGATGATCATCAACTTCGCACGATTGCCTAGCAGGTGGTAATAAGTGATGTATCTGGCCGGTCTCCCGGCTGTTTAATATGCCTGCATTGTTGTTATAGTCTAATTCCGTTTCACACTCTTCTTCTGATATGTCTTCAGGAACCTGGAAGTTTGCTTGTTATAAGTTTATGACCTCCTCGCATTTAATTTTAATTTATTAATTTAATATTTATTCAATTCTTTAAATTTATATTTACATCATATTATTAAAGTTAATTTTTATAGCAAAGGCAAAACCTTTTTTGAATTCTAGATTCAAAATTTTTGTGCTTCAAACTTATTTCAGATATTTTAATATTTCAATTAAAGTTTATATTGCATTCACTGTACACTATTTACTAAAAGATGAAATATTTCATTTCGCAGCCCTAAGACCAAAACCAGGAAATTTATTTTTATAAAAATAAAAATTAAGCAGTTTTTTAATGGGTCTTTTTTAGTTTTATTATGGTATTTAGCAGTTTTTTAACACAAAGTTTTTAATATTTTAGCTTTTATTTGAAGCAAGTGATCTCCTTTGAAGTGAGTTCAAAAGTAGCCACTGTTTATACTAATAGTGTGAGAAAACTTGATTAAGTTCTTAGAGACAAGAATTTAAATAGAAAGATATGAATATCAATGCTAACAACCTCCAGCTTTGCAGCAGGCTGGCAGGAAAATCCAGTCTTACAAATTAAACGTGTGGGAGAAAGGGTCAGGGAGATATATACACCACATTACATGGCAGGAACAAACGCACGAGCGAAAATCCCAACATTCTTTTCCATAAGCGATTGATGAGCATGGCTTCTGTCTATGTGCATGTCTAGTCGTTGAAATAACTTTACTATAAAATGTCTTGACTTACTGACAGCTGCTGCACCTGCATGAGCTCGGTCATCAATGAGTTTTCATTTGTTAGTGCATCATCGTCAACTTCACAGCTCTGCTGGCTGGGAAGCAGTGCGGAGCCTCTTCGAGAGCTGCTGGCACTTTTAGATGAAGGCAGTGGTACGCTTCTTGGAGTTGTTTGTGCAGATTTGCCATCTACAACATCAGGTGTGGATTCTTCCACCAACCTTGAGGGGGACCGGCTTTTAATGTGACAGAGAAAATATATATGAATACCTTAAAAAGCCAACAAGAAATCCCCCCAAAACATTTATGTTCACAAAAATAATCTCCCTACAAATATCAAATGTGTATACTTTATAGCTCTTATACCAACATGTAGTCGCCAGCCCAAATTCTCAAACAATAGCAGTTGGCTTGTATAGAATCATTAAAATCTTCAGAAAGGTGTAACTTCTTCTGATTACAAGATATTATTAGTGCCTTATTACAATTGAAGAGCTACAGGGTCCGAAATTGCGCTTTCCTGGTCGCCAATGCAACTAAAAATTTTGCACTGGTGACCAGAATTTCACAACTGGTCACCAGCGGGCGATTAACTATTTCATGCCACGATAATNTGAACATAGAGCAAAGAACCGAATGCCAGTTTTTCAGTCGGGTACATTTCTTCTCCAAAAGGTAGAGACAAGAAAAGGTATAAAGTTGACTTGAAACATTTGCCAGTCACATGAAACTGCGTATATGGCCAGCATTCGATTTGTTTGTTGTGGTTTTTCAGTGGTAGGTGTATAAATAATCAGCGTGTTTGTACTTAATCTTATTCGTTAGCGGAAAAATTGACATTGAGGCCCCAAATGCGTTCTCTTCGTTCTGATTCTTAAAAGAAAAATTGGTGACCAGAATTTTCCATCTGGCTACCAAAAATTTTGGTTTGTGTTTCGCTGCAAAGGAAAAATTTTATTGTCACTTTCTGGCGGCCAAATTTTTCCCTATGGCGACTGAAAAAAAATTTCAGTCACCAGTTGGCGCCTGCCTAAAAAAGTTAATTTCGGACCCTGAGCTAGTATTTCAGTTTCTGTTGAACAGTATCCTGAATGCAATGCTTTTTGTTTCAATGATCCTTGTTATTATTGTGTTTAAAAAGTCCCATCTAAATGTAACTTACAACCATTTTTAAGCAAAATTCCTTCTGAAGTTAAATACTCGTAAGATCAGTCACTCATTTACTGGCAATTTTCACAGTTAAAGAGTTTTCTTAAACCTCCTCACCTGAACCCTAATAACAAGTTTAAGGCTCAATCTACCACAAGCATGTCGATTACATGAGGTACCTACCTGTTAATAGGTGACTTGTTTTGAAATGTCATGCTGGACGTCGGTGAGTAAAGTGTTGATATTGAATGCCTCTTGTTTGGTGAAGGGCTTCTCTTGTCACCACCTTTTCTCGACTGTAAGAGATAAAATTGCATTAAGTTTTATTCCCTTAAAATCCTTTTCTTTTTTTTTTAAATTATGTCCACAATCTGATCATCAATAATTAAACAATGTTAATTAACAGAAATTTTGCAAGAACAAGTGTATTTCTTCTGTCATCTTCAAGACTAAGAATAGAAGATGTCGAGATCTAAAAATAAGTTGTGACAGATTTTTAATGAATTATTGAAATACAGTAGAACCTCACCCTCTGACCACCCCTAATTCAACCATCTCGTCATTATAAAATAAATTATTATTGTTTTAATTTGTAGTTCTGTATTGCTCTTGTATTGTATTATCTATTGTCCCTAGACATGAAATAAATGCATTAAAAAAAAAAAATTAAGGCTACCTTTTTGGGACCAAAGAAAGTGCTTACTCAGTAGTGTCAATAGTTTTGATGAGAAAAGAAAATTTTAGTCCAAAGGTCTGGCTCTGTTAATGAGGCTCCACTCCATGTGGCTATTACAAACTAACTCAATTGGGATATCACTGTACAGCTAATATTTTTAATTAGTAGGTATCCTTTCCGCCGACCTTTATATTGGATAATTTGTTCCAAAAATACTTTTACCTCTAAAGCTGCTCTTAAGTCATCATTTGTGTCATGAAGCTTTTTATTTGCCTCACTGAAAGTTAAAAAACATCAATGGCAGTTAATAAAAATTTTTTTACACCATTGTTAGCCCTTGCAGATTCAAGGAATGATAACTTCACTGAGACAATTTTTGATCAGCGCTTCTTTATATATACCTATTTTGTTTACTTGCAGTTCTATGAAGGTTCAAAAGTATAAACATTAAACCAAATGAAAAATAACCTTTCTGCAGCAGTAACTGTTCGAAAGTCTGTCTATTTGCCATAAACTTTTGAATGTCGTCTCCAGGTGGAGATATGTGTAAGATTGCATCAATTGAGTTTGCTACTTAATTCAGCCAACTTACTGAAGTAACTGAAGCTGTCTTGTTAAGCTCTCCTGTTCCAGTACACACTCCATTACAGTTCTCTTCTCACTGCCAAACAAAAAGTAGACAGATTTAACCCATTGCCAATGAAAGTAATGTACATGTATTCTCCTTCACCCATTATTGACAAATAAATAACAAATTGACAGATAGACAACCAGACAGACAGTCAGATAGATTGATAGAAAGAGTGATTGGTCAATTATTTACTCGCTGAGGTCAAAAGAGCACATAATTATAATAAGTAATTCAATTTGTGTGAATTGTATGGGTCCTTCACAATGCCATTATAATTTAATATGGCAGATTGATAATTACTGTTGGACAGCTTTGAATTGATATTTAACAAATAATCAATGAATTTAAAATTTGCTACATTCTGTTTATATAAACATAGAGTATTCGTATCTCCACATAGGGCTCTCTTTTTCAGTATTCACCCTACCCCCCTGTTAGCAAAATTGATCACTTACGCCGCAAACTGTGTTTCCTGTTCTTCATAATCGTTTCTAAGTTGAGCAAGCTCACTTCGCAAAACAGCCAGATTTGTTTGTGCATCTGTTAGCTGACTCCGCAGAAATCGTATTTCCTGCACAATGAACATATATAAATAAATGAATCATTGAATCAATTCTTAAACATACTGACAATTATTAAACATATAGAACACAAACTGAAATTGACAACCTTTTGTAAAGAACATGTAGAGTCACTATGTTATTTCTAAAGACTGTGTAATCACAGGTTAAAAACCAAAATGCCTAATGAGGTTTAGTTTTTTATTGCTTGTGTAAAATATATTTGTCTTGTACAGTGAGGAGAAAATAAAATTACAATAAATGTATTGCTTGATATGTGCCCTGCCAATAAGTTTAAAAAGCATATAATACATCCTTTGTTAATATTTTTTTTTCAGCTTAAACACTAGGTGGCTGCACCCCTTTAACACTATTCAAATATTGCTGTTATGATAAGTTATTACCTGAACTTTTTCATCAACTTCTTCTTTTATCTTTTGTTCTTCAGGTTCTTTCTTCTTCAGCCTTCCCTCAAGCTGTAACAAACAGCACCCAATCAAGGTTAGCTTTAAAGGTTATTATAATTCAAACTAAAATGAACAGGCTGAAAAAAGTGAATTAAAGTAACATGTATACCACTCTTAAAATAAATACCAAAATGGAATTTGGTTTTCTTTTTACGTTTTTTTTACATATATTTTACTTAAATTTGTTACCTTCCGTTACATTAATTACCTTTTGTATTCTTGCAGATAATGTCTGTATCTCCTTATTTTTAGTCTCCAATTGCCAAACAATATCCAAATTAGCCCTCTCTTGTTTACTTCTTTCCTGGGAAAAACAAGGCAATACCGAGTCAGACTAATAAACGTGATAAACAGATCTCAACATTCTTTTTAAGACAAATGAAAAGGCAGCTTGAACCAAATAACTACTTTTATGAGTGCCAAATGATATACATATACTCAGAAAATCCCTCAGGCACACCAATGCAATACAAATAACACAATGTAAGCAATACAATACATCCTCCTCCACTGCCAAATTCATCTGCTCAACATTAACTAACCAAAAAATAATTATTAGGACACTGGACATGGTGTAGATGAATAACCTCTTCCTGTCAGGGTGGAGAGAAAACCAATTTTTGGGCTTATCCTTCATGTAAGCCGTGAGTATGATTTAAAAGCTAAACCCACATTCTCACTAGCTGCGCCCTATTTTTTTCGAGTAAAAGTAATGAATTTAAAATTAACATCACTACAATAATTTAATCTCTTCAACAGTACTTAAGCCTGTGACTTGAATTTGCTATTAAAAGAATTTCGTAAAGAATGACTTGGGCATCAGGCAAGAAAAGGATAAAATCCACCAGCAGTAACCTGACCAGGAAATCCACTAGCACTGAGCTATTGGACATGCATGGCTTTCTTATTAGCACACTGCCTGTAGTAGCACACTGTCTGTATGTAATCTGACCAACCTCCTTTCTGATGCGCGTTTCCATCCTCTGCATCTGTTGCTCGAGCTCGCTGTCAAGTTGATCCATGTGTTCAGTATGTTTCTCACATGTCCTGCAGAGACAAAACACATGTGCAAGTGATTTATTACAAAACCATCCTGACTTTACGAACATGCATATATCCCTCTACATTTGAATACTTTACTATATAACCTATAACTTGGAGTAGTCAACCAAGCATCCTTTTTAACCTTAGTTCTCAATATGGAGAAAATAATACAGGTACATGCTTTGTTACACGTATTTTGCAACTTCACTCAGAGTAGAAACAATGTCAAGATTTGCCTAGAAGGAAGGGCCAATTTCTTATTTTCTTCTACATGTATGTTTAGAAGCAGGTCAAAAATCAGTTGGATACTGAGAATTACAAGTACATACAAAGGGTTTTACAACATACCTCTTGAGGGCATCCTCCAGTCTTTGATTCTCAGATGAGTAATGTTTAACATCTCTGACAACACTGAACAGAAAACTTTCCAGTAATGCCAGAAGTTGAGGCGAGTCAGCTGAGGTTTGCAGGTAGTGGAACAGCTCTGAGACATAGTCTTGTCTGTGGAGAAAATTAAAGCAAATTTAAAGAGCTATTTGACTGCAAACCAAAATTAGAAGAAATAAGTTGGAATATTTAAAGATAAGATACTTCAAAATAATTAAAGCAATGCTTAACCTGCAGATTTGGAGCAATATTGCTCCTACTATTGTTAGGATAAAAACACAACTTACCAACTAAAGTTACCGTAACCAGTACAAGCAGTACAAGTAACTAACAGAAAAATCCCAATTTTCAATCCTCACGTATAGAGTAAATCAAGAACACAACCTTGCCCAGAATTTTTTTACAACATGACCACATGTAGGTGACATGTCCAAGGTTGTGTTTTAGAAAATAAGATCGCCGCTGTAAATTTTACCACAATACTTTGTAGGGCTCGACTTTAAGGAAAAAATCTTGGGGCCAGCTGGCCCCTAAGTTTTCAGATTGTCGAGCTCTGCCTTGCGAACCAAACACAGCTCATTAGGTACAAGGAAAACCTTATTTTTGCAATATTTGTCCAGGCTGTACTAATGACATAATTTGTGTTTGCTAGGTTTGAAGATTTTGGAACTTTTCTGTTTGTAAATTTATGAGAGTTGTTTACTTTTCCTCATCCTGCGAGCAAAGCCTCTTTTATCTCTCTTTGCTTTATCATTTTTTACAAGCATATGTACAGTAAGAAAAAGCTCTGCTTGCAGGGTGACTTTTCATGCACTAAGATTTATAGGTTAATGTGGTATTGCCATCATTTTTCTGACTAAGGATTACATAATTGCACATTCTTGCTACTCATAACTTCTTACATCATTAGTGCATATATCATGCACAGCACTCCGTTACATTTTGGGATCTCAACAGGGAAACAGAAATGACCGATGACATAACATCTTATGGACTTTTCGATACGATAAACGTCTATTTTGTCGAAGTGCTCCAATATTTTATTGAAAGAATGCCTTCAGAGAAATTGTAGTACCCTTTTCTGATTGCTTAAGTGCTACATAAGTGTAACACATGAAAGCTTGATACCAAGTGGAGCAAATTTTGGAAAATTTTACACACGAAATTTTAGAAAATTTCATACATAATTCTTGCTCATTTTAAGGGGATTACAGGGATCAACGTTGAACAATTAACACATTTACTCGACAAGTAAATAACATTCCACTGCAACAGCCAAATTTCCTTTATGAAGAACTACCGCACCTTCAAAATTCAAGACTAAGTTTCATACGAAACTATTATTTTCAGGTAAACAACAAGGCTAACCTAAGCGCAAGCGCAACACAAGGTACGAAAACACGGATACCGAAAGCACTATACAACCCAATATACTTAAGTAAGTTAATTACATTCCCACTTAGTGAATAACTACCTGGCTGTATCGAAGAGAATTCCCTTAAACCTTCTACAACCATATACTAGCCTTGATTACGATGACGTCTACAAAATGGCGCTTTTTTGCATTGTTTTAGTGCTTTTCTAGAACCCATTCTTCTAACCGAGATGCATTACAAAATGCTAATGTCTGACAATTTACACGTATTTCGCGAAACAAAAACATCACCAGAGTAGTTACATTTTCCCTTGGTCGACTATTTCTAGCTACCTCAGTTTGTACCAAACTATCTCTCTGCAACTCCGTACAGAGTACTAATACAATTTTAATATAATTTTGCTGCGATATTTTTATGCGGAATACTGGTTGTCATGATAATTACGACAATTACGTATGCACGTTGATTTATTGTACATCGTACCTCATACCCGCTTGCTCGAGTACCAACTGAATCTCATGCAAATCCAAAGCAGCCATGATCAGTAAACTAATGAAGTTTCTGCGTGATATAGTAGTAGCAATTATACCTTTTTCAACAAGGAAGCAAGTGAGCGGACGAACAAAGATACGAGTTAAAAATTAACTTCAATTTGTCGCCAAAGTAAATGTTTTGATTAACGTATCACGTTTCATCTTGATAAGCAAACTTCCTCGTAAAGATAATCGCTTTACCTAAGCGTGATTAACCTTTCAAAAAGTCAAGAATTATAAATTTACTCATGTGGAAGAAACGTCGGCAAAGTAAAAACCAGTATTTACCCTGATAAGAGGTCCCTGACTCCAAGGGCATCTAGAAGTTTGTCAAACTTTCTGGTCTCGCGGACCTCCACGCTTGAAAGTTCATCGATGTCGGCATCGAATAAAGAACAAACTCGCTTGAATCCCTTAGAAAAATCTTGCAGACTTATCTTTTTGTCTCCGTCCGCGTCAAGTTCATTGAACAAGTTGCTAACTTCTTCGATTGTCAAATTCAGCTCAGAGCAACAACAAGCGAGTTCCGACTGTTCGATGAAGCCATTTTTGTTCAAATCCCAAGCGTGAAAAATATCTTTGACAGTGCGGTCTATATCAGCATTTTCCTCTGAAGCCATACTATTTCATTAGTTGAATATACCAATATCAAAAATAACGGTAAGGTAGAGAGAGATTGGCCGTCGCAAAATGATCATTCATGAACCAGACGCGTCATAGACAAATTTTTTCTCGAAACTGCTTTCTTGAGTTTTGCATAAGAATAGAGAAGCAACAGGTCGGCTACCAATTAAGATAACAACGACAAAGAGATTAACGGAGAGCCAGTGACATATATTGTTCGTGGGTCAGGGTTGCTTGGCCGCAAAATCGTCAATGACGACCAAGTGGCGAGTGAAATACGTCAAGTAAATGAAACAACATCATGCTTTCAAGCAGACATTTTATGAACTAAGAATTGTCAAGAAGAGGGTTTACTTCCCAGGTAGTGATAAAATACTGTAAGTAGTTTTGTTAAAAAGTCTTTTCTTATTCGAAACAAAGGAGTTTAACCAAATTATCCCATTTTTTTCTTCAGATAAACTTTTTAAGAATTCTGATATGTTAAAAATTTGACTAAGACAAAGTGAATTGTAATGAAACAGGACATCATATTGAGTATAAGAACACGGTCAAATTCAGCCTTAATTGCTGACAAGGAATATTTTTATTCCTTTTTTTCCTGCGTCCCATTATTTAACGACATCATCTCAAGTGAATCATAAAAGATTCGGGTCATCAGACCTTGCCAGTTATGCGGAACTACTGGCAGTCAGGAAACGGATGTGACATCATGTATAACGGCATTCGTCAAGTACTAGAAAATACCAAGTTCAATGTGATTTTATTTCTTGACTCATACAGCACCAGTATGCAAAGTAATTCAATGCTCTAAAAGTTACTCTCCTGATAAGTCTCTTCTAAGTGGTTGCTGTTTTTGTTATGTAAGACTTTATAAACCGTTGAATATGAGACCGAACCAAACCATTCGCTTTCACAAAAGCCGTGCCGGGTCAGCTGCTCTGTTTTCGCGGCAGTTTTCTTTGTCCGGCTAATGAATACCTAAGGGACCAGATTAATTATGGATTTTGTTAATTCTTTTATACAAAACAATTATTGTCCCTCCATCTTGGAAAAACACTTGCCGACTAGCTTAGGATTTAGTTGTCAAGCACGGTTGCTTGCGGAGTCATTTGTGAGAGAAATATCTGCTCTGCAGTCAAGCATATTTATTTTCTATGCTGGTCACATTGTCTTAGTCTGTGTTGAGTTCTTTGATAAATTTATATCTATGTTCGTGCTAGATCTCAAATTTCCATAGTTCCACCAAGTATTTCAGCCTAATCCCAGTTGTTTACCGATTTGTTTTTCCATCTTAACTCCGAGCTAGGCAAGCCGTGTCAAGTCGAAAATCTTCTAAACGATTCACCATGCAATACATGTAATCTGCAAGTAGCTAAGTTAGCTCAATTGCATAGACCAACAGATCGTTTTGTCGAACGTCTTGGAAGTTTAGCTAACTCGGACAAAGTTCGCATAAAGCTCTCTCATGGGACATGAAAAACGTTATCTTGTTACGCTTGTTGTTTAGAAAGACCGCGCGGCAAGACGTGATTGCAGGTCGCATAATTCGTACACGAGGACACAAAATTTTGCATCAAAGTCGATGAACGCCGTCACAGTAAAGTCGAGTCTTCACTGATATAACGAAAAATCCATAACAAGGTTCCATCACTCTCCAAGGGACAGTCAGTCATACTTTCGCTACCTTTCATAATGTGTAGATTTTTGTACTGAATTATTCATCAACTCTCTTGTAAAGTACTGGCTTTCGTTTTTCCTTTTATTTGTACAAATAAACTGTTGTTGTTATTCACGTGTTCCAAGTTAGTAGTTTTGTAGAAAGCATTTCTTCCTAGGCTTCTTTTCCACTCTCTAATTTTACACTGTACAAGGGTATTTTTGAAAAATTGGCAAGAAACTCTACCTGGTCTCTAGGATTTTTGAGCTAAAAATGTTGAAGATTAGGGTTAGGCAACCTTCTTGCCATATTTTGTATAAGTGGATCTGTTGGGTTAATAACTCCAAATGTCGCCGGCATTCTTTCATGAAACACTGATAAGGCATTTGAAGTCTTCGCACAGCTAAACGAAGAGTTCAAAAGAAGAGACCGTAATACGAGCCTGAGGCAAAATTTCAAACTTCTTATGCATTATTTTTTAATTTGTTTTCTCCCAAAACGTAGATAAACAGAAGAGAACGTGTTATATGTAACGAAAATTGGGGGCCACAACGAACATCCAAAATTACAAACTCCAGGTGGGCGGGAGCCGCGGTGGCCTCATGTTAAGTGCGCTCGTCTCCGGATCGAGCGGTCCCGGTTCGAACCCTGGCAAGGTATACTTTGTTGTGTTCTTGGGCAAAGCACTTAACAGTGACAGTGACTTTTTCCACCCAGGTATATAAATGGGTACCGGCAAACTTAATGCTGGGGGTAACCCTGCAATAGACCAGCATCCCATCTGGGGGCAGGAGAAATATACCTAGTCGCTTCATGCTAGATAGAAACCGGAGGTAAGCGTCAGCCTTGTTCGCTTGCAGACTTTACCATGACCTTAATAAAGGCTGGTTTTCACTTGATAATTATAGCGCCTTTTCTAAGGAGAGTTTCTTACAAAAGATGCTACTTAGCAGCACTTCTCTGCGTCTGCATATGTTGTACGTAATTACCCTCTAGTGCGCCAGTGAAAACCAGCGCTAATTATGGCAGTACGTGAGCACGTGCTATCATTGTTCATTTTATTACTGAGGGCGCGTGTTCTATATACACGTGGTGGGTGCATTACTTGCGCAGAAAGGATGCGCACTTCAATAAGCTCACACGTCGTTAGAACCAAGACTAAATTTTAGAAGATATACGATTTTTACGAAAAGTTTTAGTCCCAGTAATATTGCATGATTTGTTTCGAGTTTTTCCGATCCGTTTGCCTCCCTGGAAAACATTGTTTTACCATTTAGCGGATTCTTCCAATTTAATGGAAAGTTTCAGTTGGCAGTCCGGCCTGATAAAAAAAATTGAACTGTGGTTGATGATAATCCCCAGATATATATACACTTAAAAAATAGAAATTTGAGTTTTCGTCGAGTTGCTAAAGATGCGTTTTCTTTTACTAAAAATCTCATTTGTGACAGAAAGCATGCAAGGCACCTTAACAATTAATTTCCCTTTTATCGATGAAACAAATCACTCTTAACTCTTTCAACTCAAACAATTTGTTATCAGAACATCAAGGATGTCGCTACAGTCATCCGCAGGAAGTTTTCTTGCTGTGTTACACCGTAAGAAACGTATGGAGATCTGCAGGACGAAACTGTTTGTTCTTGCCTTGTTTTCAGTAGAAGAAGCTATTGGAAGAATACGCTCTTTTTTTGATAAGAATATTGTTTTACCGGTCCACGCTGAATATTCTTTTCGCCGATGTTGGACTGAAAATATTTTTGTGAATATTCTTAGATTATCGGAATAAAAAGTGGACTATGCCGACAAAAAGTCAGATTATTTGTTCTATCATGACTTTGATGGTATTGAAGTAATTTTTGAGCCAGTCTGCAGGTTTTTGAGCCTGATGTGACACATAACTTCTTTCAAAAATGTTATTAGATCCAACATACAGCTAGTGCTCTAGTGTTTTTGTTGTTTTTTTGTCTGCTTTTGCCGTTTAAGGAGGGAATAATTTTTATACCTTTTATTTAAAAACATATTTATTGTTTTGTATTTACCAATTGCCGACACAAAAATTATATTCTTTTCAAAATCTCAGCCTCGGGTTTATGCTTAAAATATTCTTAAAATCACGATTTCGCAAATTTCAGCCTTGATATTCCTTTAAAATATATCCTTATAAAAAAGAAAGAATGTATTAGATTTTTGAGCAAACTGTTTTTCTCCATCGAAAATAGCAAGTAACACATAGACCATAACACCGAAATTAAGATTCGGTCTTAAAACAACAAATTCTGTTGGAAACGTTTAAGATAGACTTAAGGGTGCGTTTTTTTAAAGAAAATCCAACACTGATTGCTTTATTCTTACCATAACTAACTTGCTTTCAAAATACAAACATTAGCTGAGAAACATTTACACTTCAAAACACTTAAATTTATCAATTAGCCCACGTTTCTGTCTTACTTATATACGCCGCTAAAAACTGTCTATGGACAACCGAAAGGCAAAGAGGTTTTTCTCTAGTGGTTTTGATTAAAGTTTATTACTTTTGGGAAAACTGAAAATGGTGCCGACGTCCGTGTATAGCAGTTCGAGTCCTGTTGCAACATTCGGTAAAAACTCGATAAAACTCAGCGGAGTAGAAATTAGAAAAGAATGCTGCAATCACGAGTCAGAGATTGCTTAATACAAATGCTTAAATGCTCTCTGACCAGAAGGTTTCTAAAAAGTTAACCTGTCCCCATTGCTGTCCCTTTACTTGTAATTGTCTTAGATTCTCCCGCTATCAATCAGGTTCACTCCGCTCCATTCCTGAACTTCTTTGTTCGCGTTTGCTCGCAACGTTTCAATGAATAGAAACTAGGATGAGCAACATCCAATGCATTCTTTTCAGTTCGGTATAAAAGTCGCAAATGCATAGCCAAAGTTTAACCGTCTAATTATCTAAAAAAATTCCTCCTCTAAAAGGCATTGGTTTGCCATTCCTTCAATTTGATGGGGCTTATATTCTTGCTGTTTTTTTTTTGTGTGTGGGTGTGTTGAGAACTTAAGTCACATGACGGTAGATTTTCATTTTCACTTGGTCCGACCTGATATAAAATTTGATCTGTGGCTGAAACAATCCCCAGATCTGATACCCTTTAACAGGAGCCGACAATGGGCTCCTGCCTTTAAAATAGAAATCCGAATTCCGCCGAGTTACTTAAGATCCGTTTTCTTGTCACTACAAGGCTCATTTGTGATGAAAAGCATGGAAAGCATCTTAACAATTAATTACAGTGCCTCTTTATTGGTGAAATAAAACACTTGTTAACTCTTTGAGTTCAAACATTTTATTGTCAGAACATCAAGGAAGCCGCTATAGTCATCTGCAAGAAGCTGTCTTGTTATGTACATGTTAGTTCTCACAAATTACACTGTAAGATCTGCAGGACGAATCTGTTTGTTCTTGCTCGCCAAGTTTCACTGTATAAAAACTATGCAGGTGAACAACGTTAAAGGAATCCATTTCGGTAAGATTCTGGGTTAGATTTCGAGACCTATCTTATAATACCAAAAGAAATTTTTCTTTCTCAGATGTTTCGATTTTGGATCCACAAAAGTAGCTCATCTCTGCGACGAAAAATATGGCAGTTTTAAGACCCTATTTCGCCACAAATTGTCTCACAGTTTTGTTGCGACACACATTGTACGAGGAATTGCCTGCTGTAACATCCTTTGAAATAGTTAACTTTTGCAACGTTGTGCTGCAGCAAGTGGTGAATATACAAAGTAAAATCAAGTTTTACTCTTCGTAAAGTATGATCACTGCAGCGCCTAAAACGTAGCGGGAGACATGTTCATTCCAGAGGGTGTTACACTACGCAAGGCATCGTGGTGTCGCATGCAACCGTGCAACAGAATCGCGCGGCAAAATGCAAGAAAAATTGCTTATGGTATCAGCACCTTTAGTGCTTTCCCTAATGCGAGTGTCTGGCCAAACACTTGATTGCTTCCGCTCGTCCTTATGTCGCTATATTCTGGGGCTGGCTGCGGATCTGATTTCAATCAGACCGCCATGGTCATTATTTGCAATGTCGTCAGACAAACTGGGACAAACTGATGACCCATTAAACAAGAAGACCTCAGTCTTTTTGACCATTTGTTGATTCTTTATTACGTTTTGAACTAAACCGATCTCAGTGCTGGGCTGAATTGTACAATTTTTTGTTGTTTATGATTTTCAGTTTGTGTTGATGGTCGACTGGTGGACGTTTGTGCTGACTTTACTTCTTCGAAGGAAATACAAGGGGATATTAGTGTCGGTATTGATCGGGTATTACAGCCCTAAATTACAAATACTAACACTTGCTTAGTTATTTAACAAACATGCAGTCGAGAAATGTGTTACGTATGGACGGAAGTAATTTAGACACTTCGTAAAAAACATATTTTGTTTTAGACAGGGCAAACCGGAGCTGAAAATTTTTTAATGAAATGTAAAATTTACAAATAGTCTTTTGCCGATTGAAGTATCCTAGAAACTGCGTGGCTTCATACTGAAAACAGATACCAAGTTTACTTAATATCAAAAGCCTAATGGTGGTTTACTTTGCAAATGCACATACTAAAAGATCACTTTGAAAACAACTTGGAAAGCAAAGGTGTCATTTTACTGCGAAATGGGTTTTATGCAACTTATGCGACGATTACTGAGCAATTTTGTTACCACAGAAATGCAGTTTCCAAAGAAACTTGTCTGAAGCATACTAAGAAAAACAGGCCTGGCGGTTTTCAGCCGTTAGTTGAAGCAAACAGGGAAACGACCGGACTTTACTTTTGGGCATCGATTGCAACACGCTCGCGAGTATTACCGAGTATTTAATGGATGGCCATTTTGTAACACAATTCAACGCATCGCTTTTCGCACTTCGCCGACGCCTCCAGCTCCTCATTATTGGCGCTCGTAATATTAATAAACGCTCCCTGCTGAGTTTTGAAGAAGCAGAATATTAAAAAAGCTTTTGTTGGTAACTGTAAGAAAGCAGCTGGCTAGAGTGTGTACATGACATAAAACTAAAGCTGTCTGATTTTGACATTTCGTTGGTAAACGCTGCCCAACTTTTTCCTTTCTTCTCAAAATGCTCTATTTGCCTGTGGGCGGTTTTGGTGTCAATGGCAAATGTTAATATATGGCCTTTAGCACCTGCTGGTTTAAACCGACTTGTATTTTACATTTTTAAGCTGAGCTGGTACACCTTGTTTTATTTCTTACTTAAATTAAAAGCCAGGAGAGGTCTTTGGTTTCATTTGCTTGTTAACGCAAAACAACAAAAACTGTCCGCAAGCATTGCATCGCAAAAAAATTTGCACATGCAATTTTTGGACAAATGTGTACTTATCTGTCATTTGTAAAATTGTCACATTTTTTATAGGTTTTCGTGATTATTTTAAAATCAACGACACAACTGCTCTGTAGCTGCAGGCTGGATAAAATCACTGATGTTCTAATTCGCATTTATTTCATGTCGGTGTTGATTATTGTACAATTTCTTATCAGCCTTTTCACTGGCTTATGGACCTCCGGGTCATGTACCAACTTTAATATTTCAGTTGTCCCTAGTCTGGGATGATGATTCACGCAAAGAAGGAAAGTTTTCAAGGAGAGTTTGAGCGTCTTGAAATAACCACAGGCGTTTAAGAGATACATGTACCTATCATGGCACTAAGATAAATTCTATAGTTTTTGTTCATTACGGATAAAGCGCAGGCTTATCACAAAAAGATCCTGTGTTTTCAAATTGCCATTGTTCGGGGTGTATGCATTCAGGTCAAATGATCATGATCATGAAAAGTGTAAACGAGATCGGAATCAACTGAAAAATGGATGAAGATTCATGGTTGGAAAAGAGCTAAAAAAATAAATTTTAAAGAAGCAAAAGCCGTGACGATCAGCCTGTTTTGGATCAAATCGTCCTGTGTCACGGCCCCCTACCAACGGTTTACAATTTGGGATTCAGTTTTAGCATTTTTTACAAAATGAAGCGTTTTCCTAGAAACCAAGAACGGAGTATCGAATTAATTTCACTATTGAAATTCCATCAGAAAAAGTTTGAAATAATTTCAATGTGCCAGGAAATATTTTTTTGGTTTTTCCTCTCGCAAAGACGTGAGGATATTAATGATTTTCGAGTCAAGTTGAATTTCTTAATCCGTTTCCATGTTACAAAACTGTTGGAAAAACATCCATACTAATGATTCAACAAATGATGTAGATCGTGGAGGATTAAAAGAAGGGCCTCATTCACGAAATACACAAACTGGCCGGCAAAAATCGGACGATCACGAGCGCAGTTTGATGCAGCAATCTAAAACAAGCAAACATAATCTTATATTTTTTAGTATTCGATACACAAATTAAACCGCGCCACAAAATTCTTCAAATCTCATTTGAATAATGTTTGCTTTTCCGGGGAACTTTGTATGAATAATGAAAGCGGTTGAGACAGATAATGTGAGAGCTAAAAATAATCCACAAATTTAAACTCTACATCTATCCTACAACGTGCTACGTGTCTGGTTTTTTCTCTTTACAGGATTGCACACTCCTAAATGAGAGATAAAATCACGTTTCTTCCTTCCATTCACAACGTTCTTGCCTCGAACACAGCCAAATCTCTACTAGAATGTTTGTGTATTGTACAGTCCCAAAATTTGATTTTTTTTTACCTGTCATACAGGAGACATTTTCAGATAAAGAGTCATTATATTTTAGATATAGGTCAAAGTCGCAAGTTTCTATATCGGCTATTTTCCCGTAAACCAAAAGATAACCTGGAAAGGAAAAGAAAACAACCGTGTTTCCCTTACTGAGAATAAACTATACGGACGAGATGACAAATATTGCTAATCTCTGCTTTAAAGCGGTCAGTTTGGAACCAACTTGAGGCCAAAGACCTATATCTACCAATTGTAAATTTATCTGCAAGCTCAAGTTGTCGGAAATGTTGCGTTCGCCGGACGGATATTCGCCTGGCATGAGTTCATATTCGACCTTACCAAATTCC